TTCTGGGGTTGCCTTTCTCCTGCTAAAGCTGGGCCTCAGAAGTCCTCCAAGCGCTTTGCAGGCTGTGGTACCCACTGTGCCAGCCAGAATCACCCTCTCCTTGTGCAGCTGAGGGGCCTTACTGGGTTGTTGGAGGGAGTCCCCTTCCTCATAGCCTGAAATGTGTGCACATATGGGAAAATGTACAAATAATAAGCGTTAACTGTGTATTTCAACAAAGTGAAGGCATTGTGGCACAGCCCGGGCCCCAGAGCGCCATTGGCTTCTGACCCGTGTGGTCCCCACAGTGGCAGCTCTTGGCCTGCCATGTGCAGGGAGCCCTGTGGTGTGTGTGCACCCAGCCTCCTGTGGGTGAGCTGCGTTTTCTTTGCTGGCTCCCCTTGCTGTGCAAGTGCCATTGTATGCTCCATTCTAGCTGTCCTGGGTTTGCTATTGCAAGTTCTGCCTTTATGGGTGTTCTTGCAGAGGAGGTTTCTGGCACGTCACACTTCACATAGGCCCAAGGGCGCAGAGCTGTGGAGACCTGTCTTGTCCTCCCGTCCTCAAGCAGTTTCCAGTCATTTTCTGCTCAGGAATGCTCTACTGGCAGCATAGGGCCGCTTGTGGTCGCCCAGGCCCCACGGGCTCTCCTGCTCCATGCTGAGCATCCTGGTTGGTGTGGAGGGTATTCCTGGGTGACCTGCAACATCTCTCCAAGGACGTCTGTTGGGCTGGTCACCTTCTGGAATGTTCTCTGGCCTTTGTGATTGGCGAAGTGGCAGTTCCAGTCGTTGGGTCTCTTTCTGTTGCCGTACTTTAATCGGTCAGAGCTTCTTGTAGATTCCAAGTCTAAGCCCTCTTTCGGTCGATCCCATGTGCTTTCTCTGCTTCACCTTTTCCTTCCCAGCATGCCTTAACAGACACTCCTGGCTTCAGGTGGACCCCTTCCCATCCCCCTTCCACATGGTGTTGCTGGTGGCAATTCTGCAGAGTCCCAAAGGCGCTGTGCTGTGCCGTGCCCCAGGGCCCTGTGCCCACCTTCACATTCAGGTCCACTCATGTCCTTCTGCTCTGCCACTGGACCTGTCTCCCAGGAGGGGCCTGCTAAGCAGAGCAGTGATCTGTGGGCCATCACTGCACAGCAAGGTGCCCTCAGGAGCCAGACCCCATGGGAACAGCCACAGGAGGCCCTGAGTGCCACATGGAGCCCCCCACCGTGCCCACCTGAGTCTTCCCCCATGTACTCGGGCATCCTTGGGTGCTGTGGAAGCACGACTCCCCAAGAGGCAGAGCCCACCCTCAGGATGCAGCATACCACCTGGATTTTACCTCCTGTTTCTTCTGCACCTTCCATGTGCTGGCAAGGGGCAGGGAACCAGGGGAAGCTAGGACTCACATGGACAACCCCACAGGGTGCAGCTGTTCATACACTGCACAGTCCTCGTGGGTAAGTCAGTCATCCGTCTCTTACTTTTCCCAAGTGAGATCTCTGGTGGTCAGTTCAGTGGGCCGGTGCATGTGCTTTCTTCCTAAAGACGGACTGGAATGACCAGACCTGAGGGCATCTAGTACTCTTATGGCCTCCTGTGTGCCAGACCCTCATCATTTTGCCCCCCCACCCCGTAATTTTTTTGCCCTAGGGTGCATGAGCTCACCAGAAAGAGACAGTGAAAGGTAAAGTGAGAAGTCACCTCCTGGGGGTGGCCATGTCACAATGCCTCCTCCGTTCTCGGGATTTGGGGCATGCGCAGCATGATTTTCCAGCCACCAGGTCCAGGACTCAAATGGTGGTAAGCCATGTGGGAGTCCAGCGTCTTGACCACCATGCCACTTCTGGCCCCGATCCTCATCACTTTACACCTGCTAGTTTAGCCCAGGCAGCCCTGGAGTGGGTCCTTAGCATGTAGGGTTGAGCAGTGACTCGGTCTGGGCAGAAGGACCAGAACAGTACTCTTGGCAGACACCTGGCCCATGGGACATCTGGAGAGGGCCCACCAGGATGGGGCTCTCAGTGCATGAGTTGGAATGGTATGCCAGGTGTTGCCCCAGGGCCATGGGAACCTGGACTGAACAGGCCCCACCCACCCAGAGAGCTGGTCAGAAGTGGCCAATGCATGGCCTGGTGAGCCCTGGAGCCCATTAGGTTGCAGTAGACATATACACAGGCTGGAAAGGAAGATGAGCAGTTGTGGGGTTGGGGGAGAGTGAGGTGGTTGGGGAAGAGGCATGAGGCCTACAGGTATGGGAGTGAACCTGGGAGTTAGGACACACGGGTTTGGGGCAGGAGGGGTGCTGGTGACAGATTGCAGTCCTAAACCTAGCTGTGGTTTCAGATTCTGCCACCAGAGAGTGCAGTAGAACCACCTCAGGGTCAGGCTGCAGGCACCCAGTGTTGACCAAGGGTGAAGCAACTTCCCTGAGCTTCCTGCCAGGGCCATCAGGAGCTGCAGTTGCCATCTCCAGAAGCTCCCAGGCTTTGCCCAAGTGCCCTTTCCAGGGAGGTCTCCTGCCACCCTGGTTTCCAGGCCTTCTCCTTCTCCCTCACCTCTGACCCTCAACCTCCCAACTCTCTCACTCAGCGGGTTCTCCTATTCCTACTCTTCCAAAACTGGCACCACCACATGACACCATGCTTGGAGCAGGTGCCCCAGCTCAGCACATCCAACAGCCCCACATGCATGCCATCCTGCCTTCTCCACCTTGGGGGGGACCACCTCACACTCGGCTCTCCACCAGAAACCCTTTCTACTCACGCTGTCCCTCCCTGCCCTTCACTCTGCCCAGCTGTCCCCATGGGCCTCCGCCCCTCCTCTCCTGTGCCCACCCAGATCTTGCCCAGAGTCTTGTGGCCTCTTCATGGCCTCTCCTTTCACATTTCCCACTCCCTCTGGCCCCTCCACCTGGCATAGCCAGTGCTACTTTGGTGTTACTGGCCCTCACCCCTCCACTCTTGCTTAATGTCACTCTGCAGAGGACTTCTCTATGTTCCCTGGCCAAGGAGGTGTCGTTGTCTGCTAGATGCCTGCATCACTGACTTGTCATCTTTTCTCTCCTCTCGACTGAGAGCTCCCGGAGAGTACCGGCTGGGTCTCGGTAGGACTAGGTGTGGGCCCTGAAAGTGATGGGCTCAGCATGAACTGTGCAGTGGGTGCTGGAAGGCCTGTCCACACAAGTGTCTCTGCACCAACCCTCAACCCAGCTCTAAGGCCCTCCTCTGCTGGGCAGCATCTTCTGGCCCTTTTCTTGTAAGACTTCCCTTGATAACATTTTTCTTTTCTCGGTTTTAAGTAGACTATTTTTAGAGCAGTTTTATTGAATTGAATTGGAAGGTACAGAGATTTCCCTTACTCTTTCTGCCCCCACACACGCACGACCTGCTCTATTGTCAGCATCCCCCACAGAGGGTACGTTTCCCACATTGGCACAGCATCACCCAGAGCCCGGAACCTGCTCTGGGCTTCACCCTGTGTTGGACATCCTGTGGGTTTTGACAAATGTGTGTAGTGACACATATCTCTCATCGTGGTGTCACAGAGTAGTTTCACTGCTCTAGAAATGCTCTGGCTCTGCCTGTTCATCTTTTCTGCCCCCCAACCCTTGCCAACCACTGGTCTTTGTACTATTGCCATAGTTTTGCCTTTTCTGGAATGTCACATAATGGGACTCAGGTAGCCTTTCATTCAGTGGTACGCTTTTAAGGTTCCTGATGTGTTTTCATAGCTTGGAGTTCATTTCTTCCCAGTGCTGAATAATGTTCCGTTGTCTGGATGTACCGTGGTGTATTTATCCATTCACCTACTGAAGAGCTCTGATTGTTTCAGAGTTTTGGCAATTAGGAGTAAAGTTGCTATAAATATCCACGGGCAGGTTTTTGTGTAGACAATGCGCTTTTAATACCTTTGGTTAAATCCGAAGGCATATACATGCAGGATCTTATGGTAGGAGCATGTTTCATTTTGTAAGAAACTGCCAAACTGTCTTCTAAGGTGCCTGGGCCATTTGGCATGAGAGTTCCTATTGCTCAAAATCTTTGTCAGGATTTGATGGTGTCAGTGTTCTGGATTTTGTTCATTCTAATTGGTGTGTAGTGGCATCGCATTATTGTTTAATTTGCAATTCCTTAATGACAATATTAAGTTTTCCTATCCATGAACATGAACTTTCTCTCTATGCAGTTCTTTAATTTCTTTCATCAGAGTTTTGTGATTTTCCATATAGATCTTGTACATTTTTTTTAGATTTATAG